AGTAATGGATGTTTGTGTTAAAAGAGGCGCAGAGCTATCAACCGATCATCACCTTGTTGTTGGCACGCTGTCTGTAAGAAATGGAGTACAATACGAAGATCTGGTGGCAGAAACAACCAGAGAATTAAACCGCTGATATGATAACCGAGTGGGTGCGCTTTTAGAGGGATACTTGAGGCTGCCACCTAATGCTGCGGATGTTTTTTTTTGGCCTGCCGCCTGAAGGTCCTAAAGCCAAACTGACTCCTGGAAGAAGTTCGGTGAGGTATTGGAGTCAAATTTTCACACGGCCAACAATGGCAGACCATCAGCCTGCTTCGAACTGAAAAGAAGGGCAGTCTCAGAGTCCTGAAGGACAGGTCTGGACACCCTCTTACCAAGGATGATGACATTCTTCGGCGATGGAGGGAATACCTTGAGGAACTCCTTAACTCCACGCAACCGCAAAAAGACTCGCCCTGTAGAGCAGCAGAGAACGGATATTACTATCTCTGTAGATGAAATTACACAAGCCGTGAAAAGCTTCAAAAATAGAAAGGCTGCTGGAATTAATCAAATCCGCCCTAAAATGCTCAAGGCATTAGGCGAACAAGGCACATTGGCTGGCTTACACGAGTCTGTGAAACTGCAATGACTAGGGGAAAACTCTACCAGCGGACTAGAGAACGGGAATTGTTGTACCCCTATTCAAGAAGGGAGAACATTGGGCGTGCTCCAATTAACGGGGCATTACCTTACTGAGTCTCTGGAGTAAAGCATACGCAAAAACACTGGAAAGGTGGCGGGAATTGACTCCAAAATAGTAGAAACTTCAAAAATTTTCGACAATAACTTAGTGTTGAAATGGAATAACAATTTTAGGCCTATTTTCTGGCCGTTTCTTTAAGTTGATACCGCGATGCAGCAGTTTGCTGCTGAGAAATGTCGGCAAGTAAGAGTTTTGAAGAAAAATCTTGTAAAGATAGTAAATTTCTTCCTTTATTCATTTTCAGTGCTGAACGTTACTGCTGCGCAACGCACATATTTTTCTCCGTGTGTCTGAACAGTGCCAGTGGAGCGCAGGATTTCTGATGACGATACGTGGTAGGTGTGAGTGGGTTTTCTGCAGATGGAAAATTCAGACTTCAGAGAGTTCTTTTCATTGTCACCCTCTATGAGCACATTGAGCATCGGTCAAGTTTTTTGTTGTTTAACTTCGGCGGTAAATTTTATGTGCTTGTCTCTGTGCCATTCACTTATATATATGCCATGAAATCATCTGGAAATGCAGTTTGGGCAGAGAAGTGTATCTTTAAAAAAATGAAAATGTCATCGACGAACTGGCAGGAGAAACAAGGGAGGAGAGCAATTTCAACATTCATCCAAGGATTTCTTTTTAACGTAACACAATGACCGGAGACTCCACCGGAACGCCAAAGTCTGATGGCACATCTTTTCCCAAAGATGAAACTGACACTTGCCAATACAAGTCGAAGTAGAGGAAAGTGTTTTCCCTTGCAAAATAGCGGGTAGCATCAGAGCAAGTGCGTTTACGTCCAAGTTGAAAAGCGGCGTCACATCCAGTGATGGCATAAAGACGTTCTGGACCCGAGTCTTCTCACAATTTCTTTACGAAACGGTACAGCACATCTATTCTTTACTTCCTCGGACTGAATTCCGCTTTCGGGACTGCTATCATGCAAAGTTTGCAAAACTGCACAAAAAAGCAAACTGCCTTGAGGGAGGCAAAAGTGTTCGACTACAGGCCATGTAAAACGCAAAATTTTCGTACCGCATCGTTGTTGAAGTAGCACGCAACATGAAGCGGTGAAAACTGCACCCAATCCTGCAAGTTAACGTCAGCCTTCGACTCCAGAAGTATTTGGATAATCTAAAAGATTTTTTAAATTTAACAAACTCTACAAACGCATTTGCTGTAAAAAGTAAATAATACAACAATCTATACAATGACTGAAAAATATGAGTTCATACTTAAGATAATGTTGTAAAGCAAATAAGCACTGGGTCCTAAAAGTCATAGGTAGCCAGCAAGACATTGCATCAGCCGAAATTCACCATATTTAACCAAGTCGGCTGAAGCGTATAGACGCAGCGATGGGCTTCTCGCCTGTCCCAAAAATACTCAGCGATGCACGATATCAATCAAACGGATACATGGCACAATAAAATAGAACTCAATCTTACAGATGACACATGCACGCTACATGTTATCGCAGCTGACACTGTACCACAGGTAGTGATTTAAGTTATCATAACAGCTTTAGGTTTCAGCTTAAGTTTAACATAACAACAGGTAAAAACGAACAATTGAGAGATATGTTATGGGGACAGATGCAATTTAACTATACAAATTTTGAGACATACTTGGCTTGCTATTAAGGCACATCCTTGAAAGTTTCAACAGCGTAACATCGAGAACATGTTAGAAAAAATATACATAAGGAATTCGAACATAAGAACCGCTGAAAGTTAGCCAAAAATATTTTCAGCTTATTACAAGATCTTACAAAGTTTAAACAAGAAAACGACTAAAGTAAGCCGTAGAAGAGAGAATAGGTGTAAAATGTACAAAATAGATCTATTCATCAACACTGACGTGTCAACAGATATGAAAAGAGGCTGAAGAGGAAAGACAGAACGTAAGGATACAGAGGAAGCGTGCAAGTAGTTGAAATAAATCCCTTCAGCGCAAGTATAAACACTGCTGTTCAGTAAAGTGGCACATTCTGTGCGTGAATTCTTAAAAAGCGAAATTCGCCCGGCCATCAATCAGAAGTAAATAAGAAAATTATGGGTCCGCAT